TGGAACGCACTTGAACCGCATGTGAAACACAGCTTATTGTAGACTTGTGCGTTCTCTTCATAAATTCTTCCCGCACTTGCTTTTTATTTTTTTATTTTTTAAATAAAAACATTGAAACACACAAAAGAAATACTTATGAATGGTGACAATAAATTGTCCCACACCCCTAACCGCCCGATTTAATGTATAACAAAGAAAAAAAAATATAATCAAAATATTAACCAAAAAACCTATATCTAATAATCATGATTTTGCCACAAAGGATGCTTTTGGTTAGTATTTTAATTTTGTTTTCTTTATTATACAACCAAATTTCCCTTGAATCTAATGCTTATCTTTTCTTTTTTTTGCTAAACAAACGTTTACTTATACGGATCATTTATTTTTAAGATTATGTGATTTTGAGAACCATAAATTTAAATTTGTTCTTCTCCTAGAGTTTTTTCCCAAACCTAAATCGACGAAAAACTAATTATTGTCTTTTGATTTCTTGTTAGTTTGTTAAAAATTTATTTATTATTGTTATTACCTTTGCTTCAGTTGCATTTGCTTGTCTAGCTTTGGAGTTGCATTAGCTGCAAAAAAGAAACCGATTTTGGTGAAAAAAATATATAAGACAACATGAACAACAAGTACAAAACATAAAAGACTTCAAGAGTAAGACTATTAAAGGGACCTTGAGGACAAAGACATTACAATGTTTTGGGCTGATTTTGTGCATTTAGATGCCTTATAAAGATTTCTCATATTCATTTATGATCCTTAGAGTTATACTATATATGTATTATGTATTCGTAGATATAACTATAGATTTCCGAGTTTTAGAGAGTTTGTATTGCGATTAGCAACACAATTCAACACGGAAAAGCTCCGTTGATCGGAGTATTCATGGCACCGACTTTGAAAAAAATGATTTACACATATAGTAGTACTTCTCGCGCTATTGCATGCATTGGTGCAACAATGATGGTGAACACTACCAGTTTTCTCCTACTCAGGACGGAGATTATCCCCGTGATTGTCAAAGAGATGGTCAAAAGGATGAATAAAGAGTCGCGACAACCTTACTACAAATGTTTCCGTACATATTTTTTTTTTTTGTTGAAAGACAGAAAGTATTTGGATCTAAAAATCTTGAGAAGATGGCTGCAAATATTTTATTCTAGCAACCATAGGGTAGACTGTAAAAATCTTGTTTTCCGTAAAAGTCAGTTGAACCACCTTTTTTTTTTCTTTTGTTATTTCATTACATTAATTAGTTTGAATTTGTTTTAATTTATGTTTTGAACTTGGTCCAA